CCCCCCGCCCTAAAGTTAGGTGAGCAGGTCTTTCTCAGGTGCTTCTGAGTGGGCTCAAATCTTTGGGGACTCCGAGGAACCATAGGCTGTCTCGACAAAATGGAGATCTCAGGTGGAGAGTTGCGTATTTAAATCGGAGCTGGAGATTTGGAAATTATCAACATATAGGAAATACTTCAAGTCATTGGAGATGATGGATCCATCTCAGGAGAGGTTGAAGGCGAAAGAGAAGAGGGCCCAGGACAGAGTCCTAAAGAACACCCACATTTCTAACTTTGGTTGAAGGGAAAATCTAGCAAAGAAGGCTGAGGAGGAGGTGCCTATTGAGGAGGCAGGGAAGAACCAAGATGAGAGGGAGTCAAATTCTGCTGAGAGGTCAGGGAGGGAAAAGAGAAAAGGGCCCATTAAATCAGACACTATGGAGGCTGAATACAGCATGACCAAGCTATCCTTGGGTTGGTGGAGGCAGCAGGCAAATGAAGGGAAACCAGAAGTGAAGGAGTAGATACGGTGTGGATAGATGGCTCTTTAAGTTAGGTCAGCATTAAGGGGCGCAGTCACTAGAGGATATGGGAATAATTGTAAGTTAATGGGAATGATCGAATAAAGAGGAACAGGATGATGGCTCTGAAGAGCCAGTCAAAGAACAGAAGGCCAAAGTCGAGGTCAGAGGGTAGCAGCAGCAAGTATGAAGAGAATGGCCTTGGGGGAGGAGGCTCGTGCTATGCCTGAGTTCTCTGTGTACTTCTGAAGTTGTCCATGAAAGCGGAAAGCACGGGGGCTGTGCGTGTGACTGTATGTGGGGAGTGGGAAGGCTGATGGAGAAAGGGAAAGATGAAGAAGTCAACTAGAACGGGGTTGCCATGTGGGAAGCTGCAAAAAATAATTATAGTTTTAAAAAATCATTTTATTTTGGGCTTGTACAACTCTTATCACAAGCCATGCACCCATCCATTGGGTCAAGCACATTTGTGCATTTGTTGCCATCATTCTCAAAACATTTGCTTTCTACTTGGGCCCTTGGAATCAGCGCCTCATTTTTTACACTCCTTCCCCCATCCTCCCTCGTGAACCCTTGATAATTTATAAATTATTATTTTTTTCATGTCTCACACTGAACGATCTTGCTTCACCCACCTTTCTGTTGTCCGTCCCTCAGGGAAGGGGTCATATGTTGATCATTGTGATCGGTTCCATCTTTCTCCCCCCACCTTCCCCTTCCCCTCCTGGTATCGCTACTCTCATTATTGTTCCTGAGGGGTTCATCTGTCCTGGATTCCCTGTGTTTCCAGCTCTTATCTGTACCAGCGTACATCCTCAGGTCTAGCCAGATTTGTAAGGTAGAATTGGGGTCATGATCATTGTGGGGAAGGGGAACAGAAGCATTGAAGAACTAGAAATATTAGTACAAGGCTGTAGAAATTACTACAAGGCTGTAGTACAATGAGGTAGAAATTAAAGATGGACGAAATGTCTTGACGTTTCAAAAATGCTCTGTCACTTTATCATCCCTACCAACCACCACTCCTCTCAGTAGTACATCCCCTTGCATCCCAACAGCTCGAAATTCAAAATAATGTCTCACAGAACTCATGATCTGTAACGAAATGGCTTACATGGTTTTGGAGTTTAAATTAAATCCAAAGTTTAAATGTCCACACCAAAGAGATCCTCCTAATTCACACCAAATCAGGGCTGTTGACTCACAAGCCTGTTGAAACTGGTAAATTAGGGCAGGCAATAGGCTGCTGACTGACTCAGGTCCCAGAAACCAGAAGTCAGGCAAAAGGAAAGCCAGTCACCGGATCCTGAGCAAGAGCTGCTCAGCGCAGTTATCTCAAAAGTCACTGCCACAATTTGATGCCGACTCATAGTGACCTTGTGGGACAGGGTAGAACTCCTCTTGTGGATTTCCAAGCCCCTTCTTCTCCCATGGAGTCCCCGATGGTTTCAAAGATAACCACTATACCACCAGGGCTCCTCAATTACTATACTAAGATAAAAAAATATTGCAAAAGGTTGGGTAGAGATTACATTGATAATTTCTGCATATCTTCGCTGGGCCAGGTCTAGTTTCAGGCAACTCGGTGACCCCAGCCTCCTGCGCTTCTCAATTAAGCGGTCAGATGATCGTTTGCTTATTATGAGAACAGTTTAATGCCAGAAGTTTATTCTTGTTTTAACACAGACTCTGGCGTTAAACTACAGAGTGTAGAGGCAAGGATTTATGATACATCACAAAATAGAAGACTATGCCTAAAAGGGCCATAATTTAGTAACTAAGTACTTGAGGAAAATAAGTCCAACTGCTTAGTTAGTGGAGTTGGAAAGGTCAAAGGACTGAGATAAGACCTGAGGTCATCTCCAGGGGTGTAGATAGCATCATTGAGAATGGTGACATCAGTTGGTAGGAGGAGCAAGACCGGGAAATTACGACTTTTGAGTCACTGGGGAAGGTCTTCCTGTTGCCATTCTACTTGAACTTGTGTCTCCTGTCCCACAGCATCCCTGGTAGAGAAAGAAGTCCAAGAAAGGATGCCCTGCCCTTACCCGTAAGGAATTTGTCATTGTGCTGGAGACATGAGCTTTCTAGGGTGCGACAGCTAGAGCAGAAGACGACGAAAGAGGGACAAGTGTGTGGGCCAGTCAGGAGCCTGGGTAACAGGCTAGACTTGGGGGAGAATCAAATGAAGGAAGCCTTGACCACTCTCCAGGAGATCCAGTAACTGTTAGCTGGATCGGAGAGGGGTGCTCTTCTGAAGCAAGGAAAATGGCTTTGCTAGAACAAGGAGCCTCGCGGCAGGTTCTGAGACCTGCTCTGGAGAATCTGGAAGTATGCCGTGCGGGCAGCACTGTTCAAGGTGATGGTGTGTGCTTCCCCCACCCCCTCCATGTACCCTATCCCACATTCCCCTGTTGGTGCGCATGGGACCCCAGAGATGTGGAAACATGTAACTTTAGCGTTCCACCATGCAGAATGAGGCGTAATGAAGAATTAGAGTAGAAAATGATGATGGCAACATGTACAAATGTGCTTGATACAATTGATGTATGGATTGTTATACTAGCTGTAAGAGCCTCCAATAAAATTATCGGTTAAAAAAGCAATTTAACCATGAGGGGGGAGGGGAATGTTCTAAAATTGATTGGAGTAATAATTGTATAATTTATATGATTTAACTTGAATTGTATAATATGTGGATTATGTGCCAATAAAACTGTAAAAATATATCTATGCAGATTTAAAAAAGAGGGTTAAATGTTGCCCTGATCGTGTTGTGGTTTAGGCTGTTAACAGAAAGGTCAGCAGTTCAAACCCACTAGCTGCTCTCGGGGAGCAAGATCGGGCTGTCTTGCTCCCTTAAAGAAAGATTTAGTCATGGCACCTTAATACAGGATTGCTATGAGTTGGCATCACCTTGATGGCAGTGCATTTTGGGGTTGAACCTAATCTTTGCCTTTTCTCTTCCTAAATACAGAACGTCGGAAAGGTCGTCACCAAAGGATGCCACTTTATGTTCCTTGGCCTGCAGGGATTCGCTGCAGCTTACTCCGCTCCCTTTGGAGTAGCCACCAGCATGGCGTCCTCTGTCCACTAGTGGAAGCTACTGGGCAGGAGCCACAAGAATGAATGGAATCACTTGCTCTGGAAACCCAGCAAAGCCAAGAATATTGGAGACTTAAGCAAAAAAATACTTAGAAGTAAAAAGAACTCTTTCTTAGTAGAACTGTATAAGTGTGAGAATTAAGTCATCCCTGCCCTTACTACTGAGTCAGCTTTTCACGTCTCTTTATGCAGGTGGACCAGAAGGCCAGTGCCCAGAGGATTAGGTCGTGGGCAGAGAGGGGTGAGATGGAAGTTTGTTCGCTAAAGCCCAACCCTTCCCATGAAGAAGGTGAGGGGGAGGAAAATGACCAATGAGAGCACATGGGTGTGCAGCCTGTTGGTTCCAAAGGGGGAAAGGAGGAGGACTTTGAGCTGGACCTGGAAAATTTGTCTATTTTCAATAAGTGGCAAGTCAGCCTGTGACTGCATCATCTGAGGGCAGCAGTGGAGCTGCTTGTTTCTGAAGTCGTCCTCCATCTGCTCCTCCTCACTCCACTCCTTTGCTGCCGGGAGTTTGGTGACAGGCACGGAAAGAAGAAAAAGAATTCTACTGAAGGCGATGATGCTTTGAAGATCTTTGACGGGCCTGTCATGACTGCTAAAGGGGATAAAATCTCATCATTCTCGCCCATCCTGGACCTGAGGGGCTGCCAACAAGAGCAGGAGTTACAGCATAGTCAGATGCTCTTGGGTGGCTGGTCTTGGTTCTTTGAGGGCCTGCTCTCGAGGGCTCTTATGCCCAGTGCACATGAACCAGCACCAGTGCCTCCTCTGGTACCAGCCGAGGCCTTGACTTTTGATTCTGCCCATGTAGCCATGTTAGCCCACTCTGGATGGATGCTAGGTGCTTCCCACAGGCCAACCCGATTTGATGTGGTTTGGCTTGGAATGGAGGGGACAAGACAGAGCAAGACCTAATGCCTGCAGATGCAAGTGCGTGATTCAGAGAAGGAAGCCGGAAGTAGAAGACAGGTAATAAGGAAGTAGACAGAAGTTGAGAAGGGTGTTGCAAAGAGAAGTGGAAGTACAGCAACTGGATCTTGATTAGCAGCCTTAGAAAATATTAGGTGGGCCCGGCCTTTAACTCCCAAGGATGGCCAGAGAGAAGTGCTGACTGGGGCTCGGGACCATTCTTTGGCCCATGGGATCCCATTGGTTGCCGTTGTAGCTGTCTTTCCTCCCTCCTCTGCCCAGGTTGAGCTGCTCTCGCTGGCCTGGAAGATAGGATGGGGACCCAGTATCCATGGAGGATGGCCAGTGGACTATCAGACAGGGAGGAGGAGGAGAGAAGAGGTCTTTCCATGACCCACTGCAAATTCCTGGTGGAAGGCCACCTATTGTGAATTTGTTCCCACCATATGCAAATTCCAAAGTGGTGGTTGTTGATCTCCCTGCAGGCTAGGCGGCAACATTTACCTGGTGCCTCGCGAGGTTTCCCAGAACATGCAGGGAAGCCTCGAGGCTCATGCGTTACAGATCAGATGTCCTGGGAAGCCAAGAAGGTGAGATGACAGGCAGACAAAGGGAAAGGACTCAGTGTGTGCGGGAGCGCTTGGTTGCCATGCAGCAAGACTCATCTGGACTTTCTGGAGGCTGGACATCTGGACCCAATGCCTACAGAGTCCATATTCGTGAGGGGAAGAGGGTACAAAGAATCTTGTTTTTGCCCAACGATGAAATCTGATAGCGGCACATGTCCACACTTGTAAGCCAATTGTAGCTTGCCTCACAGCAGTAGGGGTTGGGGAGAAGAAGAGATGTAAGTGGGAGAAAAAGCTAAGCATAATGAATGAGAGTCAGGGCTGGATGCCCACTGGTCACAGGAAACGAACCAGCTAAGCCAGTTGGCAGAGAGTTGGCTCCAGGTCATCGCCACCCCAGGTAACAGATAGCACTGTGTTCCACAGGCTTTTCAGTGGCTGCCGTTTCAGAAGCTGATGCCAGGCCTTTCGTCCAAGAGACCCCTGAATGGACTCAAACCTCCAATCTTTTACTTGGCGTCTGCACCACCCACAGACTCATTTGTACAGTATTTGGAAGATGCCTTTCCACTCAGTGCTGCTGTTGGGCACTAGAGAATCCTGTTAGAAGCCTGGCTCATGGACCAAGAACGTTTTCCTTGCCTGGGAGTCCATTCAACAGAGTCCACCCCCACCCCTGAGTCCCGCGAAACTATAAAGCCAAGCACATTTGACCCTGAAATACTTGACGTCTCGTTCAAAGTATCCCAGAACTTTCAAAAATCAAATTCACTCCAGGATGTCGGGTTCATGTGCACAGTTAGCCTTTCCAGACTGTCTGCTCAGTTGTGGGGCTGGGTGGGGCTTCCAACAGCTGGGCATCAATGCTTTCCTCTCCAGACATCGTGTTCTGTAATTTCCCCCCTTCCCCCAACATTCGACCTATACCTTACTGGTAATTGAGTTTGAGCGCTTTCCCTTGACATGTTTGGGCTTTTGTGTTTCTTTTCTGAGTAAATAAAAAATAAAAATGTGTTTTCTGACAGCTTCTCTAGCCCTCATCTTACCTTCCCTAAATGAGATCCCTGGAGGTTTTGCCCTAGTCTGAGATCTTCAGGGGAGCCCAACGCTGCTCCCCGATAATGCCGTAAACCAAATACTGACTCATGGTGATCCTGTAGGACAGGGTAGAATAGCCCCTGTGAGTTTTTAAGACTAACAGGAATGGGAAGCCCATCTTTCTCCCGAGGAGCGGCCGGTGGTTTTGAGCTGCTGACCTTGAGGTAAACAGCCCAAATGCCTAACCACTATCCCAGCAGGGCTCCTTGATAAATCTCCAGTGGCTGTTAAAGGAAGAGGGCAGTTCTCTAGGAGCCTAGCGGAGCCAAATGAAGCTTTCCAGAAACTGGTTTGGATTTGGAACTGCCATGGGGCCGCTAAGTGTAGTTTCCATCCACAGTCAAGAGTTCCAAACGCTATGGCTTAGATGAGGCTGAGAAAGGCCGGTTTCTGAGGGGCCTGCTGCAGGTAACATCTGTCCTTGGACTCTGGGGTCTAGTCCAAGCAGGAAAGCTCCATAGAAGGGCAGCGGTTTGGGACCTGTAAGCTGTCAGGCCGATACTGGGCATGTATAAGATGTCTCCTGGCTGATACTGAAGTGATGTCAAAGGTTCTGCGTTGATGAGCCACACACTGCTATTGATCTTAAAGCAAAGCAGCATTAGTTTCCAGTGCGTTGGGGTCACCCTGCTGTCCCTTCAGCCTCAAACCTGGGCCATAGAGAAGCTCCAACTTCGTCCCGGACCATTAAGTAGCCAGCAGAAGGGCCTCCACTTCTGTGCCCCCCCCCCCAGCAGTCCCCCTAGGTCGGGTGTGGGCAAGATAATGGGGGACTGGCCTGACAGTGTGAGGTTTAGTTAACTGCTGTTATGAGTTTGTACGTTAAGATGACTTTTTCTAGTTTCCTGACTTGGCAGGATTACAGGTAAACTGAATTGTGTGATGTCCTCACCCCCCAAGTAATAAACACTTTAGAAATCACCCTGTAGCCTTAAGGCATTCTCTCTCTCTCTCTCACACACACACACACACATAGAGTTTTTGGTTACTGTGGAGTTGCCCCTGACTGGACAACTCGTACACAATGGAACAAGTTGCTGCCTGGTCCCTTGGTCATTCCCACAAAGACAGCTGTGTTAGTGTGGGTAGACTAGAATATGATGAGAGAGTTTTATATAAAAGGTAAATGTACAGTAAGAAAGCATCCCAAACCAGTCCAGTCCAAGACCATGTGTCCGACACGGTCGATCTACAAAGTCCTCCATCTCACAAAATACGCAATGATACCGAATGCAGAAGGAAAACTGAATCAGCACGTAAGCATCAGCACTGGCAGGGGTCTCCATGTGGAAGTGAGCCTTGCCAGCTGAGGCAAAGAATTAACTAAGGCAGCCGCACACTGGTCTGACCATCAGAGAACAAGAGACCAGAGAACCGGAAAGGCGAAACTCAGCCATTTCTCTCTCCAGCCTTCAATGAACCCCACATGTGTTTATCATCCAGATTGGCACAATAAACCTTAACTAGCACAGACAGCCTTCAAACCAAATGCACTGCCGACAAATCAATTACGACTCATAGCGACTCTACAGTACTTGGGGTAGAACTGCCCCTGTGAGTTTCCAAGACTCCTTTTGGGCGTAGAAAGCCCCACCTTGTCTTTCTCCTGTGGAGTGATTGGTGGTCTCAAATTGCTGCCTTTGCAGTTAGCGACCCAACTTGCCAGAGCCTCCTTAAAGACATCTCACAAAAATCTTCACAGCAGGCCCAAGAGACTACATCATGATAAATGGAGAAATAATGGAAGTTGTCAAGGATTTCATTTTAAAAATCATTTTATTGAGGGCTCATAACAATCCATGAATCAATTGTATCAATCATATTTGTGTATTTGTTGCCATAATCATTTTCAAAGCATTTCCTTTCTACTTGAGCTCTTGATAACAGCTCTTCATTTTCCCAACGATTTCATTTTAGTTGAATTCACAAACATGCTCGGAAGCAGCAGTCAAGAACTGAAACGATATGTTGCATTGGGCAGATATGCACTGTGGTGGTTAGGGGCCTTGACTTGGTTCTGATTCACAGTGACCTTCTGCATAACAACTAAACACCGCCTGCACCATCCTCATCCTCACAATTGCTCTTATGTTGGAGCCCATTGTTGCAGCCAGTGTGTCGGTCCATCAGTGAGCGTCTCCCTCTTTTTTGTTGCCCTTGCACTTACGAGCATGATGCCCTTCTCCAGGGATCTTTTCATTTGGCAGCCCATGGGGCTTTCAATATTCAGCACCATCATTCAAGTGCATCGAGATCCTCCTTTGGTCTTCCTTATTCAATGTCCAACTTTATTACACAGCTATCAGGTAACTGAAAATACATTGGCTTACGTCAGGCACACCTCAGTCCTCAAAGTAATATCCTTGCTGGTCAACACTTTAGCCTTGTGCAGCAGATTTATCCAATACAGTGTGCCCTTTGATCTCTTGACAGCTGCTTCCATGAGCATTGATTGTGGATACAAGCAAGACAAAACCCTTAACTTCAACCTCTTCTCTATCACGATGTTACTTACTGGTCCATCTGTGAGGATCTTTACACTGAGTTGAAATCCACACAAAAGGCTGCAAGCCTTCATCTTCATCAGTAAGCGCTTCCAGTGCTCACTTTCAACAAGCAAGGTTGTGTCATCTGCATAGACTGTTAATAAGTCTTCTACCAATCCTGATATAGCATTCTTCGTCATAGCCCAACTTCTCTAATTCTTTGCTCAGCATACAGATGGAGTAAGTATGGTGATGGGGCATGGCTCTGATGCACCACTGTCCTGATTAGAAACCATGTAGTATTCCCTTGTTCTGGTCACACAACTCCCACTTCTGGGCATTCTGCAGCTCCAGGACTAAAATTCCACACCTGGGGGATTGACTTTGTCCTTTTAAAAAAGTGCCCAACAGGTGATTCTTCTGTACCAGGCACCATCAGCTTCACCACATTTGCTTATGCACCCACTTTGTCTTCAGTGATCATGTCTGGAAGGTATGCATCATGGAATGCCAAATTGATAGAACAAAGTGTTCTTGCATTGAGGAAGTACGTGAGTGGAGGTCCAATGTTCATCTGCTGCCTTAATACTAAACCTATAAATATATGCACGTAGATCTATTTCCCCATCATATATAAATATATTTACATATGTACATGCCTGTATTTAGACCTCTATAAATGCCCTTTGCCTCCTAGTTCTTTCCTCTATTTCCTTTTACTTTCCTCTTGTCCCACTATCATGCTCAGCCTTCATTTGGGTTTCAGTAATTTTTCTCCATTACATTGCCCTTTCTGAATCCCTACCAGGCCTCTCACACTCTCCTTGCCACTAATTTGTGGGTGCCCACCTTCCCAATATGATCACTGAAGACAAATGTGTGCATAAGCAAATGTGGTGAAGAAAGCTGATGGTGCCAGCTATCAAAAGATATAACATCTGTGGCCTTAAAGGTTTGAAGATAAACAAGCGGCCATTTAGCTCAGAAGCAACAAAGCCCATATGGAAGAAGCACACCAGCCTGTATGACCACGAGGTGTCAAAGGGATCAGGTATCAGGCATCAAAGAACCCAAAAATCAGATCATTGAAAATGAGGGTGAGTGCAGAGTGGAGACCCAAAGCCCATCTGTAGGTAGCTAGACATCCCCTTACAGAAGGGTTGTGGGGAGGAGATGAGCCAGTCAGGGTGCAGGGTAACAATGATGAAACATACTTTAGTTCTTAAATTCTTCACCCCCTCCCCTCACCCCCACTATCATGATCTCAATTCTACCTTACAAATCTGGCTAGACCAGAGGATGTACATTGGTACAGATAGGAGCCAGAAACAGGGAATCCAGGACAGATGAACCCTTCAGGACCAGTGGTGAGAGTGGTGGCACTGGGAGGGTGGAGGGACTGTGTAGATTACAAGAATCTACATATAACCTCCTCCCTGGGGGATAGACAACATAAAAGTGGGTGAAGGGAGACATCAGACAGTGTAAGACATGACAAAAGGATAACATAAATTATCAAGGGTTCATGAGGGAGTGGGGGAGCGGGGAGGGAGGGGGGAAAATGAGCTGATATCAAGGGCTCAAGTAGAAAGCAAATGTTTTGAGATGGTAACAAATGTACAAATGTGCTTGACACAATGTATGTATGTATGGATTGTGATAAGAATTGTACGAGCCCCCAATAAAATGATTAAAAAGAAAAAAACCTCATAGGAAGCAATATATATTGCCTCAATAAAAGGGAGGGGGAAATAGATATATGGAGTATGTATGGGGGAAACATATAAAATACATTTTATAAATCATTTATATATAATATAGAAATATGAAAGAAAAACGTATGTATTTTCTCATATGTATTTATATACATTTCCCCCATATATTTAGGGGACATGTATATATGGGAGAAATATATATTTTTTCTTTTTTTGTGAGACAGTGAGTGAGAGTGAGTCCCTGAGTGAGACAGTGAGTGAGCAAATGAGAGTGAGGCAGTGAGTGAGACAGTGAGGCAGTGAGAGAGTGAGCTGTGAGAGTGAGGCAGTAAGTGAGTGAGTGAGACAGAGAGAGTGAGAGTGAGGCAGTGAGTGAGTGAGAGAGTGAGTGAGTGAGAGTGAGGCAGTGAGTGAGTGAGAGTGAGTCAGTGAGGCAGTGAGTGAGTGAGAGTGAGTGAGTGAGAGTGAGTCAGTGAGGCAGTGAGTGAGTGAGAGTGAGTCAGTGAGAGTGAGTCAGTGAGAGAGATAGTGAGAGTGAGTGAGAGTGAGGCAGTGAGTGAGTGAGACAGTGAGAGTGAGGCAGTGAGTGAGAGTCAGTGAGTGAGACAGTGAGTGAGTGAGGCAGTGAGTGAGTGAGTCGAGAAATATATATTTAAGTATGATGTATGATGTGTATAAATATATATTTATCACTTTCTATGACAGGTATTTAGAATTGCAGCCGA